AGTCATAGCATTATTCACAGTAGCCAAAAGGTTGAAATAACCCCCACATATTCATCGATAGATGAACAGATAACCAAAATGTGGTATATACATACAATGGAATATTATTCAGCCTTAAGGAAGGGAATTCTGACACATGCTGCAGTCTGGATGAACCTTAAGGATATTATGGTAAATGAAATAAACCAGTCAAAAAATAAAATTGTACAACTCCACTTACATGAGGTATCTGAAGTAGTCAAATTCATAGAGACAGAAAGTAAAAAGGTTGCTAGGGCCTGGGGCAAGGAGGAAATGGAGAGTTGCTTAATGGGTATAGTTTCAGTTCTGCAAGATGGAAAAAAGCTTTGGAGATTGGCTGCACAACAATATGAAATGCTTAACACTACTGAACTGTACACTTAAAAATGGTTAAGATTCTAAATTTTATGTTATATATGTTTTACCACAATTTAAAAGAAAAGGTCCCAAGAAAGGGGTTCATTAATTCAGCTTGGATCTGGCGCTTACCCTGTGGCCCATCAGCCAGGGTAGGACGGAGTCTTGAAAGAACAGGGCGGTTCCCATGGAAACCAGGTAGGTGGAAGTGGAGTGATTTCCAGAGGTGGAGCATGGGGCTTGCTGTGAGGGAGGGTGACTGGATGTGCATGCAGTGAATATCCACTGTGGAGAAACTGCCTTCTAGTCAGCAAGATGCTTGTTTTTCGAAGCAGCAGGGGTGATTATGTTGTGTCCAAACCACTGGGGTATCACTTGCGTTTATCTTCACCATCAGTCATCTGTCACAGTCACTCCTTACAGAGAGATAGCTCACTGTGGTTTAACAGAGTTACATATCTCATTAGTCTTTGCCAAAAATCTTTGAAATTGTTTCTACAAATGAGCAGTCAAACTCACACTGTTCAAGTGTTTTAATGTAGAGGTGGTGTCAGTTGCGAGGGACTGAAAGCCAATTTGAAATCATTTAGGTATAAAGAAGGATTTACTGGCTCATGGAACCTGTGGACAAGTTAACAGCCAGGCCCCTCCTGAAAGGCCGGTCAGGTGCCTGTGGTATCAGGAACAAGTGCCGCCAGGGACGCAGGCGCCACCAGCACGGTCTGCCCCGCCTTTCCGTTCTCTGTGTGCTGACTTCACTCTTTCCTCCACGCCCCCCAGTTTTCTTCAAATGATTGTTGGAAGCTTCTACACCTCACATCAGAAGTGGACCTGAGCCCCAAGTTCAGAAATCCTAAGGAGGGACTGAGTGGAGCTGAATTCTGTTGTCCAACAGATTAATCAAGAGAACTGGTCACTTGAGAACATGGCAGCTCATTATAGAAACACGTGACTAGCTTGGGGCTTGAGGAGAAAACAGTTTTCAGAAAGATTGATGCTGAGTAGAGAGAACAATCGGTGTCTGCAGCAGTGACACCGAGCCAGTTAAGTGGCAGATGAGAGAAGCTCAGGTCATTTGACTGTAGCCCTCAATGGCGCGCATGCATGGACACACACACACACTCTGCTGAATGCTTTTCATGCAGACGAAGGCCCTCTGTGTGCAAGGCCTGCACATGCACGCGGCCCTCTGTGTGCAAGGCCCGCACATGCACACACACACACACTCTGCTGAATGCTTTTCATGCAGATGAAGGCCCTCTTCAAGGCCCACACATGCACACACACACACGCTGCTGAATGCTTTTCATGCAGAAGGAAGGCCTTCTGTGTGCAAGGCCCCCAGGACAGTGCATCTCACCTGTGAGGCTGGGGTCAGCCTTTGAATCACCAGATTTGGAGTGATGAGCCATCTGAAAGTGAGACTAGAAAGAGAACCATTTAGGCCTATATTTTTGGTCTGAGCTTCCTTGTTCATTATGAAGGGGATAGAGGGATACAGACCATTGTATAAATGTTATTTGTGGATTCAGAAATGTATCTGTGTCCTGTTAGATCTGAAAAATGAGGTAGAGTTGCATGAAAATCACTGAGTTCTTGATGGCAGATAGAAGCGCCAGTCCACCTCCTCAGACGTTCACAATCAGAACCCTCACATGCTTTTTAGACACTGCCTTCTTGATAATGACACTCGTGCCTTTCAGTTGTTCTAAGTGTGAACATATAAAGAGAGCAGGGAATTCAGTGATCATCTGGTTCAGTTTTCAAACTTGCTTTGAATGTGAATTCTTTTTTTTTTTTTCTTTCTTTCTCTAAAGAAAACGTCACTTGAACTCCAATATATATAATATAGATAAGAGCAGAGTGACTTGGGGTCTAGGTGGGTCACAGAGGACTCTGAACTGTCTGATTCAGTCCCTTCTCCTGTGGAACACACTTTGAGAATCACTGATCTAGAGCAGCCTTTTATTTCACAGATGAAAAAATTGAGGCTCAGAGAGGCTAAGTGGGTCCCTGAAGACACCACAAAGAGCAGCAGAGCTGTGACTGGAAGCCTGGTCTCCTGCCTTCAGAGTTGTGTTCTTTCTACTATTTAATGCTGCTTCTAGCTATTTGGAATGAGCACTCCACCAAAGTAGTTGTATTTTCCTTCAGGCACACGATAACTTGAATTGGACTAACATGAAGGCAAGTAGAGAACTTTGGGAGCCTAATCCAGTAAACAGATAAAAGCTTTATGGTTAGCAACATCTGTTTAAATTGTCCGACAGACTTGATGGGTGCTTACTATTCCCCATTTTACGTGCTGTAGATGTACCAGTGACCAGGACAATTCCTGTCTTCAAAGAAGTTCAAGTCTTCCAGGCTGTTTCAGTGAATGTGATAAATGCTGTCTGTAATAGAGATGATTGTACTTGACCCAGTTCAGAGGAGCCTGGGGAGACTTTCTGAAGAAATGACATCTAAGCAAACACCAGAAAAAGTGGCAGGAGTGAGTCAGATAGGGGAATGTTAGGAGAAAGGCTGGCTGCAGGATTTAGGTCATAGAGGGCCCTGTAAACGATTAACCCCAAGATAACAACCTCAATGGGTTTACTGGAGAAATCACTCTAGGTTGGAGGCAACCTAGAGGCAATAGAGGCAGGGGGATGGTTCTAGTGTCAGTATTTATCAGGTAGAATTGGCAGGATTTGATTGGTTAAATGCTGGTGGTGAGGCAGTAAAAAGGGTCCTTTGGCCAATATGGAGAGCACCGCAGGAAGAGAATACCTGAGGATTGGCTGGAGGCATTGGACGAGTTCCCTTTGGAACTTGAGATTGACCTGTCTGCAGAGAATCCTAATGGGAGGTACTGTATAGAACTGGATATTCAGGTTGAGCCTGGAGAGAATGTGTGTTGAGGGAGGTGTTACTAGTTTAGGTAGGAGAGTCAGGGAAGACCCTCTGAGGGATGATAACACCTGAGTGCAGAATGCTGTGGGCCATGCATAATTCTAATTGCCACTGGAAAGAGTTGAAGAGGTCTTTTGGGTTTGTCTTTTGCTCTTTTGTCCGTTTGATTTTAGCAGTGGAAGAATATAATCTGATTTGCAAGTTAAAAGATCAATTTGGCGGCTATGTGGAATATGGACTCTAAGGATAGGGAATGTGGAAGCAGGAAAAAGATGTTCTGGCTGGAAGCCTGGAGTTCAGAAGTTCTGAGTGGGTTGATGGTTGTTATCTGCCTCCCTGCCTTGGGACAACCCCTCCCCAGTTTATCTAATCCCATTCATGATTAGATGTGATCATGTAAATTAGAGATCACTTTTACATAGACATCTTTCTGTGGAAAAAGGAATCAGAGAGTCCAGCCCTCTGTGAGATAAGAAACCCTGCCCCTGGGTTCTAGTTGATTAGACAAGTGTAGGACCCAAGGCTGAGCCAATCAGACTCCTCCTCCCAAGGATTTCAAATTACAACTCAATCTTTGCTGGGTATATCGAACACGGAAATGTAATGTTTGAACACATACACAAAATAAATATTGGTTGTATGAACGGGTGCGTGGCAAAAAAGATCTGCAGAGAAAGAGGAAAAAAAGCAGATGTGCCAGGGAGGCCCAGACAAAAGAGCTTTCTGCAGGCTTCCCACCCACTTCCTGGTTTCTGGCCCTCCCCAAGCCTCAGGGGCTTCCTGGGGTTCCTGGACACCTCCATTTCCTTTTGAAAAGCCCCAGTTTTGCTTATGTGAATTTCTTTAAAGTGCAGTTTACGGAACCCTGCTCCGGGGGTGTGCACCTGATTATTGCTGCTGTCCAGATGCCCATGATGCTCTTCTCACCTGAAACTGGCAGGGCCCTTGTTCCCCACGGCCTCATCAACTTCGGGCTTCCATACCTCTTTTTTTTTTTCTTCATCTAGTTTTATAGTCCTGTAATGTTGTCTTAAGGCAATTGAACTTGCACTCACTTTATTCACTAGTGAAAGTAAGTGAAAGTGTCACTTGCTCTGTCATGTCCGAATCTTTATGACCCCATGAACTTTAGCCCACCAGGCCCCTGTGTCCATGGGATTCTCCAGGCAAGAATACTGGAGTGGGTTGCCATGCCCTTCTCCAGGGGATCTTCCCGGCCCAGGGATCAAATTCTTTACAGTTTGGCATTATTCTAAGATAACTTTGTATTCGTCTTGTTTGCAGTTTAAGCCTTCCCTGAGTGAAATCCAGTTTCACACATACTTAATTTAGTTCTCTGAAACATAAGTATGTATTTGGTTTCGTGTTGTTGTTTTTATTGGTACACATATTTCCTCACGTACTCTTTCTTTCCTTTTTATATTCTACAGAAGATAAAACACAAATCAAGCCAGTCATCAAGCATCTGTGGACTTCCCACTGATCAGCCCTGGGGATATAAGCTGAGGCTGTCAGGGCTCCCCCGCCCCCGCTTTTGCACCCCTGTGGAAGCTGGTTTCGCTGGCCTTCGTCTCCTCTAGGGCCACAAGTCCTCCCTGCATGATCTCAATGATCTCATCTGCTCCCAGGCCTCGGCTCCCACTTGTTTCGCAGGAAGAGCAGGCTTTGGTGGTTGCTATGTTTTTATGATATGTGACTTTCACCCTATGCACTTTGTATTCAGAGTTTGAATGTTTGGTTTAACTCATGGGAAACTCCACCGAGTTATTTTTGTCCCTGTCAGAAACACGGTGGATCTGTCCCCAGGTACCCCCGAGGTGAACCGGCTCGGGCATTACACTGTGTCTTCAGATGGACCAGTGGATCCGATAGAGCTCACGCAGATGTGGCTCAGCAGAGCTCACCTGCTTGGACTTTTGCCCTGCAGGCTGCCCTGCAAGGCCCTGGCAGTGGTGAGGCTGCCTGTGCCACCAGCGGTGATACACTGGGCACCTCTTGGGAAGAGTCGGGCTTGCCTCTGCCATCTGAACTAAGTCTGCCACCCAGTCCAAAGAGGGATATGAGGAGCTTGGGGGAAATGGATACATGTGTATGTGTGGCTGAGTCCCTCGGCTGTCCACCTGAAACCATCACAACGTTGTTAATCGGCAGTTGTTTAGTCTCTGGACTCTTCGGCAGCTCCTTGGAGAGGCGCACAGTCAGTGTCAAGAGACTGCCCAGCAGCTGGGGCAGGTTGTGCTAGGACAGCCCAGCCACGTCAGTCACCGTCCATGGCGCTCTGCGTCCGCACTGCCGTCACCCGTGCGAGGAACACGGTCCCCGCTCTGCTCCTCACTTGCCGGTGAAGGCCTTCTCTTAACAGCTGCCTGCTGTTGCCCTGGAATCCATCACCCAGCATGAGATTGGGGCCCACCATGCCATGCCGAAACAGAGCCATTTCCTGTGGACACTCACTGTCCACAACAGCTCAGGAACCTTATAAGCCTCAAAAAATGAAAAGGGTGGGATCCTGTCACTGAGTATCAGAGTTGTAGGAAAGTCTTCAGAACAGACACTGAGGCTGTGACCCTATTTCCCATGGTTACACCCCAAGCCAGAGTGAGCCCCTGGGAAGGAGCAAGCACTGAGTTGGATTCATTACTGTGTCCCTAACACATGGGTGGTGCTTGGTAGACATTTATTATGTTGAAAGAATGAATGAAAATCACAGCTTAGTGAGGAAGACAGATACACAAGCACATCATTCTAATACAACCCAAGCACTGAGATAAAAGACGATGGAAGAGGAAAGGGGTCCAGAGACATAGTGATTTCCCGAGGCTATACCAGGACTGGTGCCCAGGTTTCTCAGGCTCCCTGCTCCGGAGCACCACTGGGGCAGGTGGATGCTCTGGGGGATGTCAGTCTGCCTGTGCTGCCGTCTCCCAGCACTAGCTGCAGCTGATGGGCTCTGGGTGCATGACCCAGACTAGGGAACGGGTTCCCCCTTCCCTGCTTTTGCCGTTGGGCTTCAGAGATGCCAGTCCGTTTCTGAGCTCATCTGCCCCGAGAACTGAAAGCTGGTCACATTTGGCCATGTGTTTAAGGAAGTAGAAAGTGAGGCCCTGAGAGGGAGAGAAGCTTGCTCTCCTCTCCATGTTTCCCCCACCACACACACACCACTATTTATTTATATATTTATTTGGCTGCATTGGGTCTTAACTGTGGCACGTGGGATCTTTGTTCAGTCATGCAGGACCTTCCATGGAAGTGCACAGACTCAGTCGTTGTGGCGTGTAGGATTAGTTGCCCCACTGCATGTGGGATCTTAGTTCCTCAACCAGTGATCGAACCCACATCACCTGCATTGCAAGGTGATTCTTAACCACTGGACCACCAGGGAAGTCCCCTGCCCCATGATCCTGACCTTGTTCCCTTGAGGCCTGGCTGCCCCCTACCCTTGGGTTCCTTGAGACATCTCTGAAGACTTGTATTAAATTCTTCTCTTTTATTCAGCTTGGCTGAGCGGTTTTTGTTCTGTGCAGCCAAGAGTCTTGGCTAACATTTACCTCATTGATGTCACCATCACGCTCTCAGCAAACACTTCCACACCTCCCACCTTGCCCCACACTTTGGTCTGAGAGCTTTACATGTAATAACTTGTTAAATCCTCATAACATTTCTCTGAGGTAGGTAGCACTATCATCTCATTCTCAGATGTGGAAACTGAGGCACAGAGGGTAAGTAACTTGCCCTGGTCACACAGCTAGGACGTGGTGAAGCTGGGATTCACCCGCATCCAGACAGAGCCCATGCCCAACACTGCAGTTTTACCATATTTTGTTGAGCTGAAGTTTCTATTTTTAGACATCTTTAACGCATTCTCTTGGAAGAATTTCGTTTTAAATGCTAAACACCACCAGGAGCCCTGAGTGAGTCCTAAATGAAGCTGGGTGGGGCCGAGAGCCTAGATCGCTCTGTCTGCCCCCCAGGTCCTGCCTCTCACTTTGCCGGGCCTGGCAGAGGAAGCGCGGGAAGGAGCTGCCAGGCCAGGCCAGGGCTTGGCGGCAAAGCTGCTTGTGCGCGGGAGGCCAGAGCCGCACCCTGGCACCTGGCAGGCAGCCCGGCCCCACCGTTGAGAAAATACCTGGAACAAAGGCGTCCTCCCGCCACGACTGGCTGCCTCTCCTGTGCCTGCAGCGCCGAGGCTGAGGAATCTGACCCCCGGGCCAGGCCAGGCCGGGTCCTTACACGGCCTCAGGAGGCCAGCCGGGAACACCCACCGGGCTTTCTGGGGTGGGCATCCCAGGGGGAACTCTTCCTCACCCCATTTCCACCCAGGGGCTCTTCAGGCTGCCTGGACTTCCGGTTACTGCCACTCTCCCCCCAGGTGTCTTCACAGGGCAGGTGGTTCCCAGCTCTAGGGCCTGGTGACCCCCAGCCAGGAGGGCCATCTCATAGCCCTGGCTGCTCAGCGGAGCAGACTGGACGGGTGAGAGCCCCTGGTGGAGAACAGTGGCCCCACAGAGGAATGTGGACAGGGTCACCACGGCTCTTGGGAGTAAATCTGAACTAGGGGCCCAGGAGAGTGAAAGGTGGAAAAGACTCTGGACACCCCCCTCAGGGCAGTGGCCTGGTTCTTGGTGGACATATCTTGAGCAAAGCTGGACACTCCTCAGAGGGGAGAGCCAGCCTACTGGGGGTAGCCAGCCTATGGCCCATTCCTTCTCCTTTCTCCCCTCCTTCCTGTGAACAAGACTTCGGGAGCACGAATCTGGGCAAGAGACCACCCCACCGCAGCTCTTTCATTCAAAAAACCCCAGAGCCCCAGGTCCAACTCCCAGCCCCAGCCGGCAGCGCGCCTTTCCCCACCCCTGTGCTCTAGTGCCCATGTCATCCAGGCCACCGCACGCCCGTGTGGTGCTTCCGATGGCTCAGCTAAGGAAGCTGCTTTCTCCAGGTGGACACAGCCTTCCTCCAGGGCCCCCAGCTGTGCCAAGGCACGGAGCAGGGCGTGGAGCTGGACTTCAACCCCCGCTTGCTTCTCGTTTCTGTGCATGTGTGCAGACCCAAGCGGCGGTGCTTCATGCAGAGCAACAAGGCCTGGGAGGAAAATCCCCAGCCGGGACCTTCGGCCCCTGATTCCCAGGCCAACCCCTGTTCCCCTGACCTGGATATTCCCTGGGCTGGATGAAGGAAGGCCATTCCACAGGTGGTCCCTCTTCACGGGCCCGAACCAACTCTAGAGAGCAGGGCAAGGATTCAAGAGGGGTTCCTAGAAAAAGCTCCCAACACCACTGAGGGACGCCTTCTCCGCAGGCAGCACCTCCTGGCCCCGGGGCAGCCCCCGAAGGAGGAGCTCCCAGCTCCGTCGGTGGCCTCAAGGCCACTCTGGGGGCAGGATGCTAGCCAGGACATGCTCTTACTCCTGGTGTGTCAGTCTATGTGGACGATCAGGCAGAGGCGGCACGGAGCCAGCACCCTCTGGCCCAGCTTTCTGGTCCCTGTGCTTACTGCTCCGTGCTCGGACCCAGGAGCCTGGAGGCTCGGGGCCTGGCCAGCTTGTTTCTGCTCATTTCAGCCCCTGCAGTTCATCACAGAGCCCAGGGCATGGGGCCCCGACCCACTGCAGAGCCAGCTCAGAGCGCGGCCTGCACAGATGAATGAGAGAATCATCCAGAGAAAGAGGCCCTCATGAGGCCACTGGGGCTGCCAGGGCCTGGGGTCCCAGGACCATGGCCCTAGCCTTCACTGCAAGCAGGACTTCCTAAGCCTCACGCCCTCAGAACGGCATCAATGACGCCTGCCTCCCTTGGCTGCTGCACAACTTCCTATTAATAATAAGAACAGCAGCAGTAACAATAATATAGACACCACTTCTCGAGCACTTCCTCTCTGTTAGAGCTTTGCGTGAATCCTCACAACAGTGCGGGAAGGAGTTGCTCTCCCCATTTTACAAAGAACTTGGTAATGACTTAGTGAAGAGGAGCCTTGCTCAGGAAATGCAGCTGGATCCCTTGAGTGTGCAGGGCAGTGTGGGTTGTGTGGAGTCCCTGGTGTCTGTGGAGTTCACAGCTGGGGAAGGAGCCCCCACCACAGTCCAGAATCCACGCTCTCACCCGGTCTTCCCCAGGTCACCTAAGTCTAGGACCAAAGTCAAAACTGCCAGGAGGCTGGAGTCCTGGGCTCCGGTCCCCCTTGTGCTCCTAACTGGCTCTGCCACATGGGTCGGTCACTATCCCCCCCTCACCCGGTTTATCCTATTGTAACGTGAGAAACAGGGATCAGATCCCTGATACCAAGATCTCACCACAAAGAAAGGCTGGAAGTTCAGGCAAACACGGAGCCTGTGTCTGGAAGTCTGGCTACTCTCTGCCCCCTGGTGGACACCAGCAGCCTAGCACCCAGGGGGAGACCGTGCTACGCGCCAAATCACTTCAGTGGTGTTCCACTCTGCGACCCCATGAACAGGTGCGGCCTAAATCAAATCCCTTATGATTATACAGTGGAACTGAAAACTAGATTCAAGGGGTTAGATCTGATAGAGAGCCTAAAGGACTATGGACGGAGGTTCGTGATATAGTACAGGAGACAGGGATCAAGACCACCCGCAAGAGAAAGAAATGCAAAAAAGCAAACTGGCTGCCTGAGGAGGCCTTACAAATAGCTGTGAAAAGAAGTGAAAAGCAAAGGAGAAAAGGAAAGATATACCCATTTGAATGCAGAGTTCCAAAGAATAGTAAGGAGAGACAAGAAAGCTTCCTCGGTGATCAGTGCAAAGAAACAGAGGAAAACAATAGAATGGGAAAGACTAGAGATCTCTTCAAGAAAATTAGAGATTTCAAGGGAACATTTCATGCAAAGATGGGCTCAATAAAGGACAGAAATGGTGTGGACCTAACAGAAGCATAAGATATTAAGAAGAGGTGGCAAGAACACACAGAAAAACTGTACAGAAAAAGATCTTCATGACCCAGATAATCACGATGTTATAATCACTCACCTAGAGCCAGACATCCTGGAATGGGAAGTCTAGTGGGCCTTAGGAAGCATC